GCAAGTAGTTCAACATTCCCCAGACACCTGCTACTCAATTATACAGGTTGGGAACAACTTCCAGGAACCTCTTATCACTTATTCAGAGATATGCCTAAGGCAATTCATTTTTGTAATTATTTTTTATCATATATTCATATGTGTGTAAAGAGAGGAACTTTTCTTTTACTGTATAGAAACTGAATATATTCTCTCTTATTAATTAATATACATATTTATGAAATAAATAAGACAAAATGCATGTGCACCCAGGGGATGTTCATTGATGAAAAATAAACGGAGCGTTGTCTACTTGGCTGATACTGGAAGCCCTTTCTCAAGCTCTTCCCTTGCTAATCAAGCCTACAGGCTGGACAATAGGTGCAGATATACTAGTAGCCTAGGTGCTCTATAGACCCCAGATCCCATCTGATCTTGTCCTGGTTAGTACCTGAATGATAGACCACCATCGAATACTAGGTGTTGTAGGCTATACTTCAGAGAAAGGAAATGGTGAAGCTATATTTGAGTATGCCATGTCTAAGAAAACCCGATGAAATCCATTGATCACTATAAGCCAATAGGAGTCTTAAAATTGCATACACACAAATATGACGGAGATCTAGAAAGATGATGTGTTCTCTCTGTGAAATGACAGGTGGACACAGCAAGGGTATCTCTACACCCTCCCCAGCAATCGATTGGTTTGTTGGCACACTGTGATATGAAAAATATCAGATGACCAGGTCAGAAGTATGCCGGCAGTGTGTCATGCTTCACCAGATGCTATAAGATTCCAATTTCAGTTATTTTTAATCTGTTATGTCTTATCTCAGCTACAATCTAGAATGTGGTATGAATACCAGGTGTTCTGGGCTATATTTTAGAGGAAACAAACTACCACTGAGTATGTCTTGCCTAAGAAAACCCAATGAAATTAACAGAATCACCATAGTTTGACAAGTTACTTGAAGACTCATGTGTGCACATACACATATACATATTTGCATTCAGTCTCTACGGGTCAATGTATTCAATGAGAAATTACCTTTAAATGGGAAGGGAGTCATGGTAAGACTCAGCTAACCATGGAAACAGAACACCATGAACAATCCTGTATGTGCAAGTCATGGGAAATCATGAAACTCACATTTCACAAACATTCAAAATGGGACATAATGAAAGAAAACCAAGAGTCAAATAAACAATGTTACACAGCTACCTGAGTTAGTTTAGCCAAGGGTATTTTTAGTAGAGATATTCAAATTCTTTATTCACATTAAATACTTGTAGGCTTTGCCGGGTGGCAGCAGTGCTGTACATTCTGACACAGACTATAAAAGAGAAAAAATCACAAAAGTTCACTGTTATCCACAGTTTTGCATATCCATGCAAAGTCCAGGCACATATCCCTCATGGATACAGGGGCTATACTGTACTTATATCTCTCAACTAAAAAACCAATCAACTTCTTGGCCTGTATTTGAGTCATAGAAAAGCCATCTTGCCATATGTTGCTGGAAACAGAATGTGAAAATAGTGAAGAACTTGAAATGTACTTTTCCAAAGTAATTGCTTACAATGGAACCCACTCCCAAATGAGGTAAGATCCGTTCCCTCCCTCCTGGCTTTTAGAAAAAAATTAAAATCATGGTTCTGGGACCAGGCCTTCTGACAGTAGATATATGTATCATTTTAGAGGGACATTCACTGGAACAGCGATTTGACTGACGAGACTGTTTTATTGTTTTAATGCTTGTTGATGCATTGTTTTAATTGTGATTTATGTGTAATTGTGGTTTTCCTATTGTTTGTATTGGCATTGAATCTTGCCATTATTTATGTGTAAACAGCTTTGAGTCCCCCAGGGGTGAGAAAGGCAGTATATAAATACTATAAATAAATAAATAAATAAATAGTCCCAAAATGTCCAAAGTAGTTTGTTACAATTTGATACAACTACCATTTAAAAAGTAACATTTACATTACCATTCTTCAAAAGTAACTAAACAAAAACCTACAATGCTACAAACACTGGCCTGTGATATACAATGCATTTCCTTTCCGTTGTGGCAGCAGAACAGAGTATGTGGCCAAAGTAAGTCAGCATCCGAACTATAAAATATTCATCCTCCACCATTTAGTAAATGGAACAAACCACAAAAAGAATAAAGTAGCCAACTCTCAAGTTTTAATCATAATGTACCTTGTGTCTTATTTATTGCATGTAGAATTAATTACAAATAACTAGCCTTTGGTATGTTTCATTCAGCAAGGCAGCTCTTGGGCTGATATGATCTTTTATATATAGACAATAAGATGCATTAATTGTTCTTCTTTATGCTTATCCAGATACCAAAGCAGAACAAATCTAGTTTGCTGTGAACTGTTGTCATGTCGACTTCAACATATGGCAACCATATTGAGAGGGACTAAAAGACATCAACTGCCCTGCAGAGCACCTAATGAACCAATCTGGACATAGCATACTATTTGAGACCACAGAAATGCTGGACCACTCTAACACAGAGAAACCATTGAAATCCACAAGCATGTGGACAATTTCAACAGAAAGGAAGAAACCATGAAAGTGAACAAAATCTGGCTACCAGTATATAAAACCTCTAAAATTATAACAGTAAATAAAGAACAAAACTCAACCACAGGGGAGCTCCAGACAAAAAACAATCAGGAACAGCTAATCACCTCTCAACAAAGGATTTCCCCAGGCAGAAACAAGCCACACCTAAAAACTGCCAGGCCATCAAATGCTAATGAAGGTGGGCAATTGAAACATTCATACCTAACTCCAACAGACAAGAGTTCTTTCTCCCACCCTGGACTTTCCACAGATATATAAATACAATTTTCCTAGTTTCCAATAGACCTCACAATCTCTGAGGACCTGCCATAGATGCAGGTGAAATGTAGGGAGAGAACATGGCCATACAGCCCGAAAAACCTACAACAACCCTGCCCTGCTCAAGTTTTGCAGACACAGGGCCATGGCTTTTTGTAATAAAGTTTCCCTCTTTTCTTATTTCTTTAGTAAGTAAACAATATTGTCTTTTCTAGTGAGTCATGTCTTCTCATGAAAGTATAGCAATCTCAATTTAGACATTTTTAGCTTCTAGGGATTTGCTCTCGGACCTATTTATGCAGTACTATCTGCATTGTCCCTAAAACCCCAGAGTTCTCACTTCTTTTGCATATATATCAATCTTTGAGGATGCTGTGATCATTTCTCCACAGATTTGGAAGGAAAGACTCCTTAATATGAAATAATTTGCCAAAACAAAGTATTTTGCAGTATATTGCTATTTCTCTAAATGAGAGATTATGGTAAGCAGTTGGGAGAAAACTCCAGTGTTGACGAAACAACATTTATGACAGTTAACTGTGAGGGATGGTCGAAAGGGATGGTCGAAAGGACATCACTTAGGGATGGTCTAGGGATGGTCGAAAGGGATGGTCGAAAGGACATCACTTAGGGATGGTCTAGGGATGGTCGAAAGGGATGGTCGAAAGGACATCACTTAGTTTCCCAAAAAGGATGCCCTTTCTGCACATTAAAGGATGCAATGGACACACACACCAGTTCCTTCCTTAGTCATTTAATCTGACTTCTGCACAACTCAGATAGTTTTAGTTCATTTTTCAGTAGTTCTCCAGAGGATCAAGAGGAACCATTTCAAAACCTATCCATTTCCACACCACCATCAAGGGCAAAGGGGTGAAGGAAACCACATTGCCATTTGAGCTTCCAAAGAAGCCAGCAACATTTACTTCAAGGTGACATTGGTAAAATTACCACATTAGCAACTGCACAGAACTGCTGTGAAATAGCAGCAGGGCTATGGAAGAAGAAGGATTATAGTGCTGAAACTGAGAGGGGTGGGGAGAGATGGGGAGAACCTAATTTCTATGCTGAACAAAGGAATGCACCCCAACTTCATCACTCTGTTCGATTGAAACAACACGTCACTTGCACTTCAGTTGTTTACAATCATCTGAGAATTGAGGGCAAAATGATTTTAGCAGTAGTGCAAAATTGATTCTTCATCCCCTCCCCCCATTTTCTATTCTGGGAAGACACCAAAATGAGAGGGGAAATTGTTTTATTTATTTATTTACAGTATTTATATTCCGCCCTTCTCACCCAGCAGGGGACTCAGGGCGGATTACATTGTACATATACATGGCAAACATTCAATGCCATAGGCACACAACATATATAGACAGACACACAGAGGCTATTTAACATTCCAGCTTTTTCATGAGGGTATTCTGGCCACCAAGAGAGCTGTCACTTCACTGTCCATTCGTGACACTGATGAAGTACTTCCTCATGAGCTAATTTTCACCTTTTGATGGCACTATTAACATAAGTGTTATTTTGAATAGTCAGACATAGCTCACTGAATATATATGGGAAATAAGGTCCCTAATATACAGATGCCTGCCACACCCAAAATGTAATAATATTGCATTTATGTCTTGAAAACCAGCAACAAAGATATCTATATTTATAGATGGGGAGAGGGGAGAGTTGCAAGCATGTCTCCTCCAACAAGCACCAAGGGAGTAAAGATTCCTCAGGGCCAAAGTAGCATCTCACTACATTAGATTACAACTACAAAAATAAATTGCCTCCTGAGATCTTCTTCAAATGCTGCCAACTTCGCTTGCTGTAACCCTTGACACCTTTTGTTGCTTACGGCCCTTCTCTTCTGCATCTAAGGAACTTGGATGAAGGGGATGCCGCGGTAAGTGTCATTAGCTGCAAGAAACAAGCTAAAAAAGCAAAAGCTCTTTTGCCTCTTTCATCTCAAGAGAAATGATGGCAACTGCTGCCTGAAGCTGCATAAAGACCATTTACACAAAAGGTCTGTGACTCTGGTAAAATCAACTCTGAGTTTTTATTTCCTTATCCCTTTCATGCCCCATGATCCCTCCCCATGTCTCCATCCTGGGTGGCACTTTTGCAATTTTACACCCTTGTGCAGAAATAAGGGACTTACCAAATAGCACTTATTTGGGTAGAAAAACAGAGTTTTCTTTGGTTTTAGAGGGAAACTTCTCTTTCTGAAAGAGAGGGAAAGAAGAGAAGATCATTCAGAGTCATTTGCAAAAAGTTTTACTGACATTTATCAAGTCAAACATATATGCTACTGGGTTACTGTGAGTTTTCCAGGCTGTATGAAAACGAACAAAATCTGGATACCAATATTTTAAAAAAACTCTAAAATCAGAACTGTATATAAAGAACAACACTAAAAAAGGAGGAATCCCACACAAGAAACAATCAGGGCCAGTTAATCACCTCCCAACAAAGGATTCCCCTAGGCAGGAAGCAGCCAAGCCTTGAAGCCGAAAGGCTATTCAATGCTAATCAAGGTGATCAATTGCAACATTCACACTTGACTCAAACAGACAAGAGTTCTTTCATTCCACAGATATATAAACCTCACTTGCCTTGTTTCCAACAAACCTCACAACCTCTGAGGATGCCTGCCATAGATGTGGGTGAAACGTCAGGAGGATGCTCATGGAACATAACCACACAGCCTGGAAAACTCACAGTAACCCAGTGATTCCAGCCATGAAAGCCTCGACAACTCATATATGCTACTATTTTATCACTTCAAAACAGAATTCATTCAATCACAGATTTGTCCAACTCTCTAGTACCTCAAGGCCTTCTAGTCCAACACACTGTCATTGCAGAAATCCATGGCTAAATCATCTATGAGATGCCATTGCCCCTACTCTACCCATATTAATTTAAGGCAGATATGTAGAATTGTGGTATCTGGAATCCATATTTTGACACCTCCTTAAAGCCCCCAAAACTCACCAAAAAGAAATGTTAACATCCCTGCCAATTTTTGTCCCCAAAATGCCTTCAAATGACACCTCCAAATGTGGTGGTTTGGATCACTTTATCCCCAATTAAAACCACCAAAACTTCAAAAAAACAGGAAAATCACATTTTTTTCATTTGTGATTATGATGCTGTGCCTTGTGGGATGGTCATGTGGAATGGTCATGTGGGATGGCCCTACCCTTTCAAAGCTATCCACCCCTGACTGGTGATAAAAATGGGTTAAAACATTGTGCCGGCAGGACTGAAGACCGACAGGTCGGAGGTTCGAATCCGGAAAGAGGGCAGATGAGCTCCCTCTGTCAGCTCCAGCTCCCCATGCGGGGGCATGAGAAAAGCCTCCCAGAAGGATAGTAAAACATCAAAACATCCAGGCATCCCCTGGACAATGCCCTTGCAGACGGCCAATTATCTCACATCAGAAGCGACTTGCAATTTCTCAAGTCGCTCCTGACACAGGGAGGAAAAATCAGTGACCTAAATAATTTTCCTAAATCAAGGTCGGGCAACTTCTGTGGCCATGAGGCAACACTGGACTTCTCACTGGGACTTCTCCACATATCTGTGCATGCTTACATACTAATACATAACCACACACATAATCAGACACATAAAACATACTTCTCCAACAATCAGTACTATGGATCATTGGAGAGGGGAGTGATAGCTTTTGTACTGCTTTCATCTCAGAAACACTGGATAGAATTTAAAGCTGAAATACAAGAGTATTTGGTAGTGCATATCAACTGAAGATCATCTAAGCATATGTATTAGCAGCTTTTCTCAGCCGGGCGCCTTCTGGATGTGTTGGACTATAATTTCCCTGAGGCGACACTGTCTGAAGATTATGGGAGTGATAGACGAACACATCTGAAAAGCAGCAGGTTGGGAACAGGATTGGAGAGCACAGGAATCTCAATTCACTCCAAGGTATTTCTTTATTATCAGTGCTAAAGATGCATAACTAACTTTTGTTTTGTGTAGAAAACAACCTCTGATTCAGAAAAGCATGGTGCTATACTAATGTCTACCTATGAAGATTATCAATTTTGTGTAGGAAAGATTAGGCAGATTACATAAAACTAGGTTTCCAACATTCATCCCCAGTAATCACACACAAAACAGTGAGAGAAATACAAGTCGTATTTATATCCTTTTCAGCAAAAAGCATGTATGATTTATAATTACTTTATTCTAATGGCTTCTTCAATAAGCAATATTTAAAAAACAGTGAGTTAAAAAGGAGCTGTTTTCAGAATAAATGACAGTACATCGAGATATACAACATAAGCAGAAAGCATAATCATAAATAACCTAACCAACTCATCTCCAACATGGAGAAGTATTATTGGCATTACCATTTGAATTACTATAATTAACATGAGTAATGTTTGACAGAACTAAGGAACAAATCTTTTGCTAATGCCTGCATTCAGATGGACACATGAGAAGCACTGACCAGTAATAGAAAATGTACAAATAAAACACTATCAGGAGGTTTTGTGTTTAATCCATCAAACAGTAGCCTTCTACACCATGTGGCAAATCTCATATGAAATGAAAAAATGACTTCCAAAAGCAATACTTGATGTGACATGAGGTTCTGCTGATCAAAGCCCCAAACCCTAGTGGACACACTCAGGCCTTTGGGTATGAATGCAATTTGTTCTTCGGATCCCAGTCAATGTCACCAATGGGAAAGCTGAATCTGGTCTTCTTTTTCCTATCATATTGCCAATGGGTGCATAAAAAATTCAGACAAAGAACCACAGGAGAAATGCACAAAAACATTGGAATTTCTCGGTATGAAAAATGAATCTGGCATCTCTATTCATTCATAGAGAGAGAACTAGTGGTCTTCCAGATGTTGTTTCTCACCTCTCATCTTCTCCAGCCAACAAGGACAACGATCAGAGATCAAAGATCTTGGGGGTCTGACAACATCTGGAGAACTAAGACCTCCATCTTTTTGTCAAACTATCTTTATTAAATTATTGAAAAGCATTTTTTTTTGCAATTGATAAGTACCCTGCACCCAACAAAGACCAGCAGATGCTTTCATGAATTCCACAAGACATGAAGTTAATGGCCTTTTCCTGAGATCTTCTCCAAAGCAGGTGATATACTTTAATACACTACTGCCAAACTGAACAATTCTACTAGCTATTATGGCCAATATTCATATAATAAACTATGTCCCTTGAGTTTAACAAATACTCCAGTAGCTATTGCAGTGTTTTTGGTAGAAAATTCAGTATGTTAAGTATACACTACAAAGATCTCAGAATCATTATGTTTTAGATGACAGTTTTCTGAATTTGCAAGCCAGCATGGTCACCAGTTGGACTAGGAAACTCTAGTTGTCTAAATTATAATTTCTCTATGGCTGGCCTTTACTTCAGTGGTTCCCAATCTTTTTTTTGACCAGGAACCACTTGATCAGGAACCACTCTCCAAGATTAGTACCAAAAGGGTTACAAATCAGTTTTTGGTCAACTTTAGATTCAGTTTGGTTATTTAGGGTGCTGATTCTGAAAACTGCATTGGACAGACCACATCAGCTCTAGTTTCTGATACAGAACATATGCCATCCAGTAGTCACCATTGGCTCGTCCACAGAAAACCATATTTAATAAGCTTCGGCATTATAAGGTTTCATGAGACCGGTCGCTCTTGTTGCAATGGTGTAGTAACAGTGAGGCTGCGGACCATATTTTAGTTCTTGCAGACCCCTGGTGGCCCACAGACCACAGGTTGGGAACCACTGCTTTATTTAAACAAAAATCTACCACCAATTAACTGAATTGGGTTGACTAGAAATGGGGCTAAGATGTTGTCTGATTCCCACATTTTCATTCCCCCCCCCCCCCATATATTCAACCAAAAGAACTTGTACCTTTAAAATTTTGAATGTGGAAGAAAGCAAAACTGGCACCTTTTTCTATCCAGGTAGAGGTCTTTCCAGAGATGAGCTCTTAAGAGTTCAGCTTTGTATTTCAGTTTGTTTAATCATCCTTATGGTGCTAAATTAGGATTAGCATTTATTTTTCCCTGACAGACTCATCATTGACAGAAACATAGCAGTCAGGTACAACATGTCTTTCTTCATCTTGGAAATAGCTGCAAATGCTAGGTTTGGTCAATCCAAATAACTAACAATTTCATTCAGTCTGATTTTGGAAATCACTCACAAAGATGAGCATTCAGTCACTGATAGATTGTAAGACTTCCCAAATTAAAATGTGGGAGACGTTGCTGGACTGCAAATTCTATCAGCCTTATCAATGATGATGAGTGAGTGGAGTTACAATCTAAAAACATCTGGAGGGCCACCTATGATATAACTCTGATATAAGATTTTAATGAAACAGGTTGTAGAAAATACTTAAGAAGAAGTGCATACACACACCATCCATTACTCTCTGACTGCTAGAACTGCCCTATTCAGTTGAAACATTTTACTTGTGGTTTTGTTTTTGCAAAACAAGAACACTAAAGCTATCAAATGACTAGGAATAATAACCGAAAAAGGCAAAAACAAAGCTTAGCAGATATTCCTGACATGACCCTGAAGGTCTGCAAATTAAATTATAGCAAAAGAAAACAGAAAGAAAAATGAGTGGAGAAACATTTAGGTTTTCTTCTGCCAATAATAACATGGCAATCTGTCTCTTATTGCCATTGTATGAAGCCCAAGCTCTACAATTATACTGTGTGCTGTAATGTATAGTCACTGAGAAAAGAACCAAGGTGTTTCAAGCAACATAGTAACATTAATATGCACGTTTCTTGACAAGATATTTCTTCTGGATTCAAAAATTCATCGTCCACTCCCTTTATACAGAGCAGATGCATCAGATGATAAGAAGGACCTTCCATAGCATTTCCATAGCATGTGTGTGTGTTTGGGGAGGGAGAACAGAGATCCAGTCTTAACCAATGTAGACAGTCTTCCTGCTGTTTGTTCAGTTTTTCAAAAAGGTAAATCATTTCCTATCACTGAAGTGCACAAACATTGTATTTTCCTTTGCCCAACCCAGAACCTCTGGCCCATCTTGATGCTCATTCAAGACAAGCACTGACAAGCCAGAACACCTAGAAATATAAGTCCCATGTGGAATAGTTGAAAGATCTGAGTACTTTTAGCCTGGAAGACAGATAATTAAGAGTAGACTTGATACCCGTTTTCAAATATTTGAGG